TGACAATAATAATATTATTGTGAATGACATGATGCTTAATAAAAAAATTATTAAATTTTTACATGTATCTAATGAACGAAAAAATTAAATAGTAAAAAAAATATCTATTAATTTCTTAAGTTACATTTTAATTGAAAATAAAATTATATATTTACTTTAAATTATACTTAAATTTGAATGATATTAATTTAAATTATTTTATTAAATATAATATATATAATCTATGTTTTAATTTGTACTTCAAATACTAAAATATACTTTAAATTAAAAAAAAACTATATTTAATTTGAGCTAGTCAAAGTTTCAGTTAGAGTTAAATAGGAGGTTTCCACCAAGTACTTTTGATACAAGCGAATATTTATTTTCTATAGGAGGTATAATAGATGAGTTCTAAGGTGTGTTTTCCTCCTAGATCTTTAAGTTAGAATTTGTTTTAGTAATTCACAGTTCTTTCTATTGTCTTTTTTTTTATATTTTTTAATTATGTCAACTGTCAAGAATTACCTGTTCATGTAAGTATATATGTTTTTCACGTTGATATTTTTTATTTTGTTTTACTAAATTGTGTTATATATTTCAATTTAATTTTTTGTGTAAGCATAAAGGTGTATTATTTTTAAATGATATTATGTATTAAATTTTATTTTTAACTGATTAATTTATATCAAATCTATCATTATTTTCTTTAATACATCATAAGTAATTATTTACTTTTATATTTTTCATGCTTTTGTAAAGAATAACAAATTCCAATAAAGATAAATGGATCACAATTGTGTGATACACTAAATATATATCGCTAAAAAAAGTTAATTAGTACTGATACGGTACTAATTGATGATGAAAAAGTATTAGTATTTGTATTTTCTTGATTAAAAATTTATTATTTTTAATAAATTATAATTGCATTATCTTTTATACGTTGTTGTATAATAATTAACTAACTTAATTTATTTTTAAATTTTTTAATTGATTAATTTTATCTTTCTATGGAGCAATTACATACATGCTTCCATAGTACAAAGTATTTCTTACCTGTTCAAGGGTATATTAAAAGAAGAAAAAATATACTTCATAACAAATTTTTCAGTGACAAAGAACAAAGATAGATTTGTTGCTGTTGAAAATAATTCTTTCATGTTGCAATTCTATGCCACTAACTATTATTAAGGAATTAAATGATAATAAGATAATTTTTTTACCATATCTTTGAGTTTGTAAACTTTGAAGATTTGAAATGTTGCTTTGAAAATAACGTCTTAACAAATATTTTGTTATAAAATTTTACTAAAATTATTATATTATTTGTATTTAATTTATCAATTAGTTTCCTAAATTTATTTATTTTATGAATAGATGTGATTAGAGTGGTCATGCATACAAGTTTTATTAAAGAAAAAATAAATGCTCAAAGTAAGATAAAAGAAGGAGGAAATTGATGTATAAATTATAAATTTGTAATGTATTGTTCAAATTTTTTAGATCATACAATAATTTATATTTGATATTTTTTATTAGGTTGCAACTTGAGGAAGATGAAATAAAAATTGATAAACAAAAGGCAACAATGGAAAATTTAGAAGATTGAACAATTTTTATTACAATATTGTATAAATACATTTAATATTATATAGAATTTGAAAAATAAAATATCACCAAATATTTCTATCATTTAAAAAATAATTTTGTTATCTTATTATATATATATATATATATTTTATTTTATTATTATATATATTATGTATTGACTTTATTCTTAATATAAAATTTATTTAAATTTTATATATAACGCATAAATTTTATATTATATTAACATCTGTAATTCTAATTGATGTAGAGATTAATTTTTATATTAAATAAAATTATTATTCTCTCTTAGTTTCTACCCAAATCTTAATTAAAAATATTTTAACTACTCTTTTTTTTTCTCTACTTCTATTATTTTAATTTTTTTAAAAATAATTTAATAAGAATTGACTTATCATAATTATTTATAACTTATTAATGTAGATAATATTTTATTTATATTTTATATTATAATAATTACGATGAAAAATTTAATTTTTTTATATTAAAAAATTAATAATATTTTTACTTAATGATTTTGTTGTAATTTTTTTTTTAAATATTATAATGATGATGATAAATTCAAAACTCTCAAATTAAAACTAATTAATTATAATAATTAAAATAAATTAAATATTATTAAATGTCATAATAATGAAAATGAATATGATTTAATATTTAAATCTTTAGGTAACTGTTCATTTTATATATTTAATAATTTTATATTGTAATGAATAAATATGTAAAAAAAATGTAACGTTTTAACTCTGAATTAAGTTCAAATTTTAGATTTAATTTCTATATATATTATTTGTTTCAAAAGTTAATAAACATTTTCTATTACGTACTTTTAAAATTTTATGAGTACCACGTTTAAATTTTCACAACTACTGGAAGACTTACAATTCAAGAAAGATAGGTTAGTGTTTAAAATATTATAAAAATATTCTTTATATCAACATATCAAATTATATTTATTTATTAAAATTCTATATTCTCACTATATGATTATTCAAAAATTTTAGATTGGAATACAAGTTCTAATTTTTAAATTTTTTTTTTTAAATATTCAATTACAAATGCAAAGAATCATACTTTCCAATGGAAAATTCAGTCATTTTGTGGACTTAAAGTTAGTTCTCAAGATATAAATCAAAATACAAGTATTATACGTAAAAATATTAATTCAATAGAAATATTTTTTTATTAATATAATTATTTATTATGTTATATTCTTAAAATTATATATTTTTTAATTTTAAAAAAATATTTAAATCAGGTTCACTAATATATTATTATTATTATTATTATTATTTGTAAAACCATGTGATATATCAAATATTAGATTATAGAGATAGACACGTGGACATCATACAAAAATTATATCTAAAAGCAATAATCAAATCTCAAATACAAAAGATCTATGTCAAAATTGTTAGAACACATCTATTTTTTTAATGACAGTATAATATTTTAATGTGTTTATATTAAAGTTATATTTATATTTTTTAAAATAATTACAGACCTAATAAATATTTTAATGACGGTATAATATATATATATTTAAATTAAAATTTTATTTATTTATTTATTTATTGGCTTTTTTAAGAGGCAACATATTATTAAATTTATTATTATCTTAATTTTATTAATTCTATTATTATTATATTAACAAATAATTATTTAAAATTATTTCATATTTTAAAATTAATTTACTTCTTTATTTTAATTAATAGAGAATGATTATAAACATTTATTCATGCATATATTGATATTAATATTATAAACTGTGATAATATGAGCTTATTTATTTATTAATATAATTCAGTTATACACTTATAGAATTTATCATAACTAATTTTATAATTAATATTTTATAATAAAATTATAAATTAAAATTATGCTTGCTTATTTATTAATATTTTTTAAAATTATAGGTGATAAATCAAATTAAATTATTAAACAAAAGCTTATGTATCTCGTAAAATTCTTGAATACTTTAAAATTTAATGGATTTTCTTCCCACTTGTAATTCAAAGAAAGAATGTCAATTATGTTACCTAGAAACATCAATCCCACATTAGGAATGTGCAATAGAACAAGACTCTTTATCAATGACAATCATTAAATTATGTTTGATTATATTTGCCAAAACCTATATTTAATCATAGTCAATTATATGTTGCATTGTCTAAAATAATGTCAACAAAAGAAATAAAAATACTTATTATTAAAGAAGATACCAAATATATAGAATATACAAAAAATATTGTATATAAAAAAGTATTTCATAATCTTCCTCAGTGTAAATATATTTAATATAATAATTTTTTTTACTATATTTATATATTTAAATTATATATTTTATATTTTAAAATAAATTAATTTAATAAAAATAAAACAAACTCATGCAATACGGAGACATATTTATTAGTGTCTATGTATATTAATATATTAAAATTAAACTCTTGCTTAAAGATAATGAATAAAAATAAAGTAATAACATTTAAAAGTATAATTAAAATTAAGCTTAAATATCTGATTGCTTCTTATAAATATTATAAAATTTTCTGTTGTGATTTAATTCTTAAAATATTAAATAAAAAATCAGTTTTATTTAATTTTTAATATTAAAGTTAATATTCATAAATAAATTTTTGAATATATTTTATATATTTACAAATAAATTTTCTATTCTTCTCTTTCCCCACTAGTCCACTACCCACCTTCACCCATCCCTTCTTCCCCTTTGTTTAGATTGCAAAGTGTAGCCCACAGTATGCGAGAATCACATTGCTTATATTCATGATTATTATTATCATCAATAAATCTTCTTCGTTTACTCTATTTCTTATAAATTGTAATATTCAAAAGTTTCAATAGAATTGTAACATGTTATTTTCTATTTATTATAAATTATAATATCATTTTGTTACTTTAGTTTTTCTCATTAATATCTTTATTTTTTTATGTTTTTTCTTTTTTATAATTATTCAAAAATTTAAAGCTAAGATATATTAACATGAGTTAATTTCAAACCAATTTTAAAAATATACTCTTTATTATTGACACATTGATTAAAAATAGAAAATATAAATACCAATTAGTAAAATGCTATTTAAATTTCATATTTTACGTATTTGTAAAATCTATTTGAATTTTGAAAAATTTCAACTTAAGACAATCAATGTGGATTAAATCATAATAAATAATGTTAAGTAGAGAAAAAAAGGAATAACATTAATAAAATTCCATAATTTCTCTTTTTAAAAAAATTACTATTTAATATCTTATTTTTCAAGTTTTAATTAAAATATTTAATCCATCTATTCATTAAAGTTAAAAATAACCATTGACAATATTGTTTAGAAATATAAATGAAGTAAATATATTGTGTGAAATGTATTTGAAAAATTATAATTATTGTGCGATGGGGTGATAAGTGAAATGGGCATGAATTGGGGAGAAGGGAGGAAGTGTTTGATGATAAGCAAGGAGAACTGTAGAAGCAGTAAATTAGTAGTAATGGAAAGGGTGTGAGTGAGTGAGGGAGCAAAATGGGTTGCAGCAGCATCACTTTGAATACGGCAGCGGCATCAATTTGGATCCCCACTCCAACTAATAAGACTAAGGCGCGTGGCCATGGATCCTCTCTTTCAGTTACTCCAAAACGGCAACGCCCTTGTCGTTTCTTTTGCGGTGACTTTCGATCCCCTCTCACTGCTCCAAACGCCCTCCATTCCCATACCCACTCTCTGGTATCTTCCATTCCACTCTTCAATTTCCATTTATCTGTTAGGAAACGAAAATTGATTTATAATTACAGATTTTGAAGGCGGCGGAGTCAAAGGAGGGTCTCCATGTTATGATTTCTGGAGCTCCTGCTTCTGGCAAAGGAACCCAATGCCACCTCATCACCAACAAGGTTACTGCTGCTACTTCTACTTTTCCTTTTCATAAACACATTCATTCTCATTCAATTCATATATGCAGTACGGTTTGGTGCACGTTGCCGCTGGAGATTTACTCAGAGCAGAAATTGCCACCGGAAGTGAAAATGGAAAGCGAGCCAAACAGTATATGGAGATGGGACAGTTGGTCCCTGATGAAATTGTTGTCATGGTAAGCAAGAACGGATCATTTCTCTTCAAATCATTTTGTTCCTATCCTTTTTTACCTCCTCATTTTTGTACTATAGATGGTGAAGGAGCGCCTCTTGAAGCCTGATTCTATAGAGAATGGTTGGCTATTGGACGGATATCCCAGGAGCTTGTCGCAGGCTACTGCACTTCACCAATTTGGTTTTCAACCTGATATTTTTGTTCTTCTTGAGGTCAACATTTCTTGTATTTTTATCAATTATCATTGAATCATTGTCAAAGCAGTTGGAGCTTGGATTCTAATGCCATCGTACATACCCAATGAGACTTATGTTCTGCTGCTATAAACACCAGAAACCATTAGTCTTCATATGCAAAAAAGTCATAGTAGCTCTTGTTATAATGTGCAGGTTTCTGAAGATATTCTTTTGGAGAGAGTAGTTGGACGCAGATTAGATCCTGTTACTGGCAAGATATATCACTTGAAGTATTCTCCTCCTGAGACAAAAGAAATTGCAGCTAGGCTTACGCAACGTTTTGATGATACTGAAGAAAAGGCATGGATATATCCCTATATGTTTCTCTAGTCCATTGTTTCCATAAATATCTCACTTCTTTTGTCAGAAAATGCAGAATACACGCACACAGGCTTATAATTAAGTGCCATTGAAAGTTCTTTTCCATTATTGTTTGCTTTTGACTTAGGTGAAGTTGCGATTAAACACCCATCATCAAAATGTGGAGGCAGTTCTGTCCATGTATAAAGATATAACTGTTAAGGTATGCTTTATAGTCTCTCTCTCCCTCCAACAAACGTCTGTGGAGTGGACATCTTAAATAATGCAATTACCAATTTATCATGCATGCATGTATGTACTAATATAATAAGCTACCAATTTAGAGTGAATAATCCTTGCCAGTGCCACCACAGTATAAAGCATTGATATCCACACTAAATGGTCTTTTGTGAATTTGAACTAAACAATAATTAAATGGGCAATAGATGTTTGTTGCTTAACTGCTTCAAGCTTTAATGTTGTGTTGCTTCTAGTGTTATTAGTGGCTGCTATCTGGCGGTATATTTAGTTTTCAATAAGATACGACTGATGCAAAAGCTAATATACAGGAAAGATAAAGTTGAGCAGGTTCTGGTCATATATATTTGGGTAAACCCCAGCTAACGTGCCTTTGTTGTCTTCAGATTAATGGAAATGTCTCTAAGGAGGAAGTATTTGCTCAAATTGATGGTGCACTGACGAGTCTTTTGGAGCAAAGGAAGGCTGCTTCAGGATCTGTGGCTGCATAGAAGACCATGTTTTGGCATCTTGATCTAGCATGGTTCCCTGCTAGAGGTAATGGATTTAAAGCTATATTATCGTGAAGATTGATCCGTTGAAATTGACGGCTTTATATCCCTTTTGGAAAGCAATGCAGTAATTGGTTTGGACCATGCATGGGGACCTGTGATAGTGAAGTGCGCAATATATTTTGTAAGTTCATTTTACGACAAAATTATTACTTTAAATTCGTTTTCATGTAATGGCTGGCTGGCTGGCTTGTAAATGGAGGATTTAGTGAACTATCTGTTGTTGGTTGGTTGGTTCCTGTTATTGCTTGGTTGGTACGTTGTGCGTTCTATACCAAGTACCATTTTCTGTATTATTTATTGATGACTGAAAATCATGAATTTGATCTACCAAAAGAAAATAGAAAAGAATCTATTGTGTTCTTGATAGTACAACTTACTTTGGTGTTGTATCAGTGTCGTGGAATTGAAGATTGATAGTAAAACGGGGTATAAAACCCTTACGTTACCCAGGTTTGTGTAAATATATAAAAAATATAATATAAAATATAAAAATGTGTAAAGGAATTAAATTTCTATTAAATTATAATTTTTTAGAAATGATTTGTTTGAAATAATATTTTTATTATCAATGTGTGTTTTCATTAAAATCAACAATACAAATTATCTACTTTTAAGTATAATTATAGCATAATGAATTTTTTTTTTGTTAAACTCTTCGCTATAAATTATATTTTAATGTTTTTATATTTATTATTATGTATGTAATAATCAAGTTTTATCTTATTAGGTAAGGTAAATTAAATACATTATTCAATGTCACTGTGTTTAGTCAAAAACTAAAATTTTTAAAATATCATTTATCGATTAAACCTTCAATTTAGTCCATGAGATTAATAGTATTAGATATTTTAATTTTTGATATTTTAAAATCTCCATGCCAATCCTTGACTTTGTTGATGACTTTAGTTCTTTGAACTATATGTTATCAATACATAATAATACAATGTTAACATGTCATCAACATATATGATTAATTGGTAGAAAAAAAAACATCATAGTAATATATATATTTATTTTATTTTAGTCCTTGAAATTGTTATTGGTAAACATTTTAATTCTTAAAATCTTTTATCTACCCACTATTTTTCTTCTTTATTCATTTTTTAATATTATTATTGTCAAAAATTACCATAATACCCTTATAAAATTAATTTCTTCCAAAATTTATTAAAAAATATCTATCTATCAATCATTCTTCTTCTTCATTCTTTTTTAACACTACTATTGTTGATAATTACTTTATCAAAAACTATCATTGTTGTTCACCTTAATCTTTTTCTTCTTTTGCCCACCCAAAACCAACAACATCTTTTGCAACTACAATCTCATTTGACTCTCTCTCTTCTTTCTAGGTTTTTTTTTCCCCTTCCATTTTTAAAATTTCAAAGAGTAGTAGTGGTTTCTAGTGGGTTGAAGGCAGCAATGACAAATTAAAATCTTTTAGCATTTACAATTAGGTATAACGGTTAAATACATAACAACAAAGAACTAGTAAACACAGTGCTTTATTAAGGACAGAGTTAAAGTTAAGAGGAATAAGAATAACATAGAAGTCATGAAATAAAAATATATATCACATCATATATGATATCATTTTTGTCATACAATTAATCATACATGTCATTTAATGTGACATGCCAATATTTTCTTATTGTATTACAAATATATGACTTGAAGGACTAAAGTGATTGATAGAAACAAAAGTCAAACTAATATATTAATTTTAAAATCTTTGGAACTAATATATCTGTTGCTAATAGTATTAATGACTAAATTTGAGATTTTTTTTTGCTAAGACTAAATTTGAAATTTAATCATTAATCAATATATTTTTTAATAATTTTTTTCAAGATTCTTTTAATTCTCTCTATTCCTTCTTTATTGTATTAAAAATCATACTATTCACTTTTCTCACTTATGTCTTTAGCCTTCTTTGCATGTTATCAAATTCTTTTAAACAAATTTTTATTATATTTTTCTCTATAAGTACTACTCTAATATTCTTGTATAGATGGTCATTTCTTATTTTATCTTTTTTCTTATGATCCCTAGTTCATTTTAATATGTTTAATAATAATAATAAAATAACTTTATCAACAATATCCCTTTTAATCATGCATCATGTGATTATATCCTTGATAAGATACAAGTAACATATACTATTTATACTACTAATATAATTATAAATCTCATCAACAATGTCATTTATAACAAGAGTATAAATTAATATTTTTATCACATCATTCGTATTTGTTGTTGAAAATTTACATATATGATGTAATAGTTAATCATTTGTTCACGTTATATATAGAAATCATTTGTTATAAATTTTTTTATTCATGTTACAATAATTTTCTCCTTTTTATTTATCAATATTTTTCTATCAATAATGTGTAGAAGCCATTTGCTCAAATTATATTGTATCACTTATAAAGAGTAGTAATTTAGATTTTGCTTAGATATTTATAGTCATTAGTGCCTTTTCTTTTTGTTTGGGAACTAAAGTTTTTGTTTTGGTCTGAGACCTAATAGTTTTTTTATTGTCTTACCAAAAATTTCAAAGGCAACCTCTTTATTGGTCAGGTTAGTTCGGTTCATGTTTGTTTGAACTTAATTTAATACTTAAGAAAATGAAAAATATTTCTTAATTTAGTTTAAAAAATTATAAAAGTTAATAATTTTTAATTATGAGTCTATAATTGAAGTATAGTATAAAGTCTTTTTACACCATCAATATATTTTAATACAAATGGTATTCGTATGATAAATATATTTTAATTAATGAATATAATATTTAATTGTAATGTTGGTATTTAATATAATATTTTTTTAACCTAATCATATATTATATTTAATTAATGGGACATGATAATCTTTTGTAAGTCTAAAAACTTTTACACTCATATGAGTCTTTTATTTAATTTACATTTAATGAGTTATAATTTATTATTTCATTGGCCGTTAAATACAAGTTAAATGAAAAGCTCAAATTGAGTATAAGAGTTTTTAGATTTATACCAGTGTGAGAAGATTCTTCTCCTTAATTAATATAACATTATATACTAATAGGATGATATAAATTGTTATATGTATATTTATCATTTTCTATTTATTATATTATTTAATTTAAAATAAATTTATAAAAATTATTTTAAAATTAATAAACCTTTTTAATACACATTTTAGTATATATTTGAAGGTATCAAATTTATATGTTATTATTTTGTTTAATAATAATTTTTCTAATACAAAAAGTCATTTGTTTAAGAAAATATATAATAATTAATGAATATAATATTTATTAATGTATCATTTTTTTATTAAATCAATTATATGCTCTATTTAATAAATATAACATTAAACACTAATGTGCATTAAAATTTATTTACTTATAGAGATGCTGTAACCTACTAACTACGAATATTACTGAAGAGAATATTGGGGTAATTTGTACAACTCTTCGTTCATAAAGATCTTAAAATGTCCTTGTTTTAATCCATATATTTATTAAAGAAACTAATAACAATTGCATAGCTATAATATAAAATTACAATAATTGTCTAATAAAAGTTTTCATATATATTTTTTCTAGAAATATCGTATTTTTTTTCAGTGCATTTTTATCTCTAGAAATAAATGTAAATAAATTTAAAAACGTAAATGTTATTTAAGAATAATTGATAACCGTAGGTGCACACTCAACTGACCTTGTATAATTTCCCTATAAAATATCCATTTGGCCTAAACTCTTATTTTCAGGCTTCGGACTCTTCTTCGTTCACAAATAGTACTCTCTATCGTTTTAAATCGTTTGAAGGATGTGGTCACTCAGAGTGGTTAAGCATTTTTACGTTGAAAACTTACTAAAATGTTATTTTCCACCCACTTTAACAATTTAAGTTGGAGAATGGATCTATATGGATTGTATTGTTGATGAATCTTTGACTTTCAGGAACCTGTTGTAGTTCTCTCCATATAATCAACATTTGCTTATTGAATAGTTCTGTGTCTTCTTAACAAATCCATTTAATAATCCTCTCATCACTAGTCTCTGCTCTGTACTAATGTTAGCTTTGTTGACTCTCCTACAAGTTTGGGCAATCGAAGTTGAAAGGTCAGCGATGTTAGTTGTTCGTACGTGCTAAATCTGTGGAACTAAATAACAGCTTCGTATAGATCGCGGGTCAAATAATGAATCAGAACCCACCAAATCAGCAGAAACATGTTGTAGGCCGTAGCAAATTAGTATTTGCCAAACGTGATTTTATTTTTCTATCCTATGTATCAAGTGAATAGATTAATAAAGGACATTAAATATGCATTTTCTATGCTTTCAACTATTAAAATGTTAAATTTTAAATGATTTTTCTCCTTTCATATTTTTCAGTAATTATTTATTTATTTCTTTAACTAATGCACTTAGTGCATAAGATAAAAAAATTTGATGATAATAAATATTTTCATGCAACTATTTCTTCTTACTGTATTGTGATGACAACTTTAACTTGCTTATATTCCACGTCATAGCTTTTTAGGAGAACTTGAAATAAAATTCGAACCTGTTGAGATACTGTAGTGTCCATATTCTTAAGAATCAATGTTTTTGTTTATTGCATGCCAGAATGGGCTAATTGATTCATTTCGAGTCTTTTCATTCATAATTTCATCTTTAATCTCTAATCGGGATGGTGGGAATGAGGCATGTGATGTGAGAGATTGATTCATGCATACTTCTTCTACTCCACGCGAATGATCAAATCCCTATAGCAACAATTTTGGAGCTTCATGCTGCTTCTCTTTACACAACCTCTTTCTATCCCAATTTTTAAAAAATGATAAACTTTATTTCTTTCACAACCTTATATATTTAAAAATGAGAAACGGAATAAAAAACAAGAAAATATTTTTATAATTATTCATGTGCTGAAATGATTTATTTCTAATCAAATTGATTAATATAAACCCCAATTCAGAAAAAAAATTAGTTTAAATACCAAATAGCAAATGCAATTTGAATGATTTTTATCATTATTCATTACCATTACTTTACTTAGCCCTTTGTTATGTGTTAACGAGGTGTGCGTAGACATCTTATCCTTATGATTATGACAATCAACACAGAGAAATATTTTATGAAAATGTTATAATAGATTAATACATAACAAAGGCAATGCCCTGCGATGAAACTGACCTTATGATCAACAAAGTGTGGAGAAAAACAGAGGTACCGACGCATTGAGCGAAGTTGGACGAATATGTTCAATTTTATTGATTGAATTTTCTAATATAAAACAGGTGGAATAGAACTTTGAAATGGATGTTTCCTTTTGCATTTTATTTTTTAAATTTGGCGAGTGAAACGACCGAGTAATATGTTATTGGAAGAAAGCAAAGTCCGAGTCAGAGTAGATGGAAATGTAGACTTGGTCTTAGCCTCTGGTCATTAGTCCTAACAAACAAACAGCGTTACTGTCTCTGTTCTGAAACCGCGTTTATTATATTATATTAGCTTTTGCTTTTGGCCTTTCATCTCAGCACGCTTCTCTAATCACTTCTCCCACCATGAGATTATTGAGTTCTGCTACTCTTTCCCATGGCTTTTCTCCTTAGCCTCAGCCACTTCTTCATCTCCTTGTGTTTCCTTTCTTGTCTTTCAATCATAAACGCACTCTCAACCGTTTCCATTTCGGAGACTTCCACCCAAACATTTATTTGTGTCTTGCAACATTCAAACCAACAAGGACAATCAAATCTCAACTGTACTAGCTTCCCTCCGGCTATTGGACTCCAACTGAACCCCAATATTTCCTACTCGGAGATTGTGGGTGGCAACGGGTTTCTATGTGCATTAAGGCCACCATCTTCTTCTGGCTCCATCATGGGCTGTTGGAGATTCTCTGCCAATGCCACCAATGTTCCCTACAAGCGTATCTACCGTGGACCCGTTATTCAAGACATTGATGCTGGCAGTTCTCACGTTTGTGGTCTTGTAAACAGAACTAACGGCCTTGGCCTAGAGTGTTGGCAATGGAATGGCTTCAATTCAAGCACTAGCATGAACATGTCAATGTTAAGCATTGCTGTGGGAGAGAATTTCGTGTGTGGGTTATCACAAACGGGGGATGTTACTTGCATAGGCACTAATAGTAGAGTTGTTGGGCATGGGCCTACGCCTGGTGGAAATTACTCGGTAGTTGCAGCTGGGTTTAGGCATGCTTGTGCCATCTCTCGTTATGGTAGTTTGGATTGTTGGGGAGAGGTAGAGGGCGAGAAGCCACAGGGGAGGTTCGTTTCCTTGGCGTTGGGGGAGAACAGAAGTTGTGCACTTGGCTCTGATAGAAGAGTTGCTTGTTGGGGATCCAATAACTTCAGCATGCCACAGAGTTTGCAAGACACCTTTTTTGAATCAATTGTAGCAAAGCGAAGTGTTTTCTGTGGAGTTGTGTCTTCAAACTATTCCTTGCTTTGTTGGGGTACTGAAATGTTTGAGTCAAATAGGAAGGTGTTTGATAATGTCTTCCCAGGACCTTGTAGGAATGAGTGTCGCTGTGGACCCTTGTCAAACTCTGCCAAACTCTGTGACTCTCCTTCCATCATTTGCCAGCCTTGTCCCCCCGTGTTTGAATCTCCATTGCAGCCACCACAGTCATCATCACCACCACCACCACCACCCCCCCCCCAAAAAGAAGCATCAGAGAGTGGTTGGAGCAACAAAATGGTGGCATTTCTAGTTGTTGGAATCGTGGGTTGCATTATCTTCTTCCTCGTCTTGGCTTTCTTCCTTTACAGGCACTGCAACTGCAAAAACCGAGGAAGCCGCGTGCATGACTCTGGGCCATTGGACGAGCCAGAAGCTGAAGCTGCGGCTCGAGTTCTTCAAAAGCGGTTGAGCCATGTAATCAGCATGGGAAATGGCAGTTCTTTGGAGGAGTTTTCTCTGCAAGTGCTGCTTCAAGCCACCAACAATTTCTCAGAAGAGAACAAAATTGGAATAGGTAGCTTTGGTTCAGTGTATCATGCCACGCTCGAAGATGGGAAGGAGGTTGCTATCAAGAGAGCTGAAGTCTCCTCCACCTCCTATGCAGTTGTGGGCGGCCAACAAGACAAAGACAATGCCTTTGTGAACGAACTTGAGTCTCTTTCAAGACTCCACCACAAGAACCTGGTCATGCTGTTGGGTTTCTATGAGGACACCAAAGAGCGCATTTTGGTGTACGAGTACATGAACAATGGTAGCCTCAGTGATCATCTTCACAAGCTCCAAAGTTCAGCTCTCATGTCATGGCCACTTCGCATAAAGGTAGCTTTAGATGCTGCCAGAGGCATTGAGTATCTACACAACTACGCCACTCCACCAATCATTCACCGTGACATCAAATCTGCCAACATATTATTGGACGCCAGATGGACGGCCAAAGTCTCTGATTTTGGGCTCTCTCTGATGGGCCCTCATCCCGAAGATGATCATTCACACCTTTCACTTCTTGCTGCTGGCACCGTTGGCTACATGGATCCTGAATACTATAGGCTTCAACATTTGACTCCCAAGACTGACGTGTACAGCTTTGGCGTTGTTTTGCTAGAGCTTCTTTCTGGCCACAAAGCCATCCATAAAAACGAAAATGGGGTGCCCAGAAATGTGGTGGACTTTGTGGTACCCCGCATTGTTCAAGATGAAATTCATAGGGTGTTGGATCCAAGAATGCCACCACCCTCACCCTTTGAGATAGAGGCCGTGGCGTTTGTGGGTTATTTGGCAGTAGATTGCGTTAGGCTAGAAGGTAGAGAGAGACCAACTATGTCTCAGGTTGTAAATAACTTGGAAAGAGCATTAGATGCATGCTTGGCCCAACCAACACTGTCAAGGTCCACTACTGCTGCTTCTTTTGACTAGTTCACCAAATTTCCTTACGCTTAAGGCCTTCCCATTCGGCTCCCTGGATTATGAAACGGTCAACTTTTGTACATTATTATACCACTTTTCTTTCTCCATTTTTTGTTAGTACTAATTTCCATGTCACATCTTATTCTAGAGAGGAGTCAATTACTAACCCGGTCCCATTTTTGTTTTATTTTGAATTTCTAGGGACCAAACAGTGTATTATAAATTGATTCTGAAAAACCCAGAAAGGAATAAAAAAAACAGTGTGTAATGAATCGGAATCGTACCTTTTTTTTTCTATTTTTTTGTAACTACTACTACTTGCTATTAGGTCAGTGTTTCATTTCTTTCTTCTCGAGACAAAGTCATATTTAGAAATTTTTGAATAAGATCTGCAACAAACCAAAATATATGTACTGTTCAACTTCGAACTTCAGATTTCATTTGACGTAGTGTTTGTTCATATCGTTTTCATTTATTTTAACAATTCACGTGACAATGGAACCTCTCATGTGGTGTGCAGCTTTTGTGGAAGAAATGAGAAACAAAAGGAAAGAAAAATGTGAAGTTTCTAAGTTACAGAATTTTCTTCACAAAAACTTCCACCAACAACTCGAGAAACATTCAGAACCACCGGTACCAAGTGGGTTAAAATATTTGGACCAAAAGATTCGACTTTTAAAAGTAGTACGGCCTAACTAATATGAAGGGAAACTCGATTGAGTGCATGTTTTTTAAGCAATTCGAATAAAAAATAGGCCTTAAAAATAAAGTAAAAAAAAAACGGGGTAAAGTAAAAAGAGCAAGATACCCATACACGCAAAGCAATAAAACAGGAGAAAGAAAAAAGCTTGCCAGCTTGGATAACACTTTAGGAAGGCATAATTATCATATAAATGTCGACAAGGTTGAAAAAGTGTTTCTCAAACAGAAACTATATATAATTCAAGGGAGCTTGCAAGGGTATATACATTAGCTTTGTAAAGAAGAGCACTAGAGAAAAGCTTTCGCATCTTCAAGACGGCTGTCAGGAAATTTCAATGTGCAAGGTTCAGCATCAATGAGCATCTTGACAACCTCTCTCATAGTGGGGCGCAAAGATGGAAGCTTAGTGATACACTTAATAGCAATCTTCAACACTTTTATCATATATTCAACAGATTCAGGTGCCACTCTATCATCAAGAATAGTGAGAACACTTTCACGGTCATTGAGATGAGTCAAAACCCAGTAAACAATATCCTTTGCTTCTCCATAATCATCTTCAATGGGTTCTCTGCCGGACACTAATTCTAATAGCACCACTCCAAAGCTATAAACATCACTCTTTTCAGTGATGTCAGTGGCATAAGCAAGTTCTGCATGCAGGAGTGCAATGTATAAATTAACATTTGCTATTACATATTCAAATGTGCATAGAGAGAGCTTGTGTCCTATAAAGAAACTCAAGATTTAACATTATCTGTTTAGAGACAAAAAGAAACCTTATAACACATTTTATTCACCAAATTATTAGACTATGTCATTTGTTTATCAAAAATAAAATTAACTCGAAACAGATCTATAACTTGTTCAGCTAACCTCGGGGACATAAGGGCCAAAATATGATTTGAACTGACACATTTATTTTGTTCCATTGGCATTATGTCAATAACAGAAATTCAACTGATCAACCAATCTTGGTAATGTAGCCATTCATTAATAACAAGTACACAGTACACTCTGGGGGCAGCATCCTGATTCCTCAAGTAAATTCAGAAAGAAATTAAAAATTCTAGATAACCAACAAAAAAATTGTATACAGCAGATAGTCTGATACATTTCATAACTCATAAATAATAAGCTAACAGTGTCAAACATGCGATGCTTCTGAAACATAAACCGCATACTGAAATTTCTGTTAAAAGCATTGGCAAATTTACCTGGAGCAATATAACCAAGTGTGCCAACTAGACAGCTATAACCCAACTGGTCATTAGACTTTTCTGCAAACCTTGCAATACCAAAATCCGCAATTTTTGGCTCATAATCCTCATCAAGCAAAATATTGCTGGATTTTATATCTCTGTGAATAATTGGTGGATTATAGTCATGGTGTAAATAGGCAATTCCTTTTGCAGCTCCCAGAGCAATTTTATACCTCTGGTTCCAATCCAAGTTTGGCTTCCCATCCTTTACTTGTCTGTGAAGAGCTTGAAAAAGATTACCATTTGGCATGTACTCAAACACTAACAGGTTGGATCCTCCTTTAAGTAGACAAGCATAAAGTTTAAGTATATTTCTGTGCCTAATTTTCCCCAAAATCTCCATCTCTGCAGCTAAAATCTTTACACCATCTACTTTCCCTAGTTGCTTGACAGCCACCATGGCTCCATTTTTTCTTAGCTCCACTCGATAAACCTTTCCCGTACCACCACTTCCTATTAAATTATCCTCATCCAGATTACATATTTCATCGGCATCAATATCTACTTGGTGGAAAGACGCAAGTTTCCATTTTTGAGTTGCTTCCTTCTGACATTCCATGTTTTTTCCGGCACTCTGCTTGATGCTTCTACACCTCAAAAGCAGCAACCCAACTAAAATAACAACAAAAATAGAAGCAGTGAAGAAGAGCAAGACAAATTTATCAGCAAAGACCCTTGTCTGACCGTGATTATTGGCACAAATCTTCAAATCTGAATTCATGGAAGGCTTTAGGTTTTCCTCAACACAAAGTCCCTTGTTTCCAACAAAAGCTTTGTCTCCACCAATAATGAAAAGGCTGGATGGAATTCTCCCAGAAAGCAGGTTTTTCGAAAAATCCACCGAGCTTAGCTTTATTGCCTCTACATTATCTGGAATGGAACCTGTAAGTTGGTTTCCAGATATGTTAAGAGAGTTCAATGAACTCATAAGTGACACTGATTGTGGTATATTCCCAGATAGAGAATTCCAAGCAAGATTCAAGTCCACCAGCCTTGCACAATGACCCAGTTCTGTGGGAATTGATCCAGTTAATGAATTCTCTTCTAGATGCAAAGAGGATAACTGCTTCAGATAACCAATTTCAGGTGGTATTTCACCGGAGAAATTATTGTTGCTAAAATAAAGCTTCTCCAAGTTCACTAGCTTACCAAGCTCTGATGGGAGCTTACCTGAAAACCTGTTCATCATCAAAACTATCTGACTTAAGCTAGTAGATAACCCAATTTCTGAAGGTACCACGCCAGTGAAATCATTATAAGCCAAATCAATTATTTGTACAAATGGAAGTGCCCAAACCTCATTTGGAATTTTCCCAGATAACTGGTTATTACTGATCCTAAATCTCTTCAGAGATTTGCATGCAGCATAAGACTCCGGAAAAGTACCAGAGAAATTGTTTTGCAATGCAAGCAAAAATCTCAACTTCCTGTTTTCACACAAGAACTTTGGGAAATCACCTGAAAATTGATTCTCAGATATGTCAATACTTTCAAGTGGCGAAAACCGGCCAAAGTTTTCTGGAATAATCCCAGTGAAGGCGTTTCTATAAGCTGAGAACCCAATGAGATGTTGCATATCCCCAAATCCTGCGGGAAGTTCTCCAGAAAATCTGTTTTCATATAGTTGAAAAACAACCAAGTTCTTCATATTACCAATTTCCTCTGGCAAACTACCATACATGTTATTTGCAGAAATGTCAATCTCCCTCAGATTAGTGAGGTTTGCAAGCTCAGCTGGAACTTCTCCTGTCAAATTATTAGAGAAGAGCTCAATCTTGTAAATATTCTCTAACTTGGAAATTGATCTAGAAAGTTTGCCAGAGATCTTGTTTCTTGAAATATCCAGTGTCTCCAATGCCTTCATTTCATACATTGATTCTGGAATCTCTCCTATCAAATGTGAACCACCAAGATAGAGCCAGGTCAAGTTCTTCAGATTTCCAATAGTCTCTGGAATCTCACCCTCACTGTAGTCATTCTCCCCAAGACCCAGTGAAACCAGTCCAGTAAGATTCCCCAACCAGCTGGGGATGATTCCAGAAAAGTAGTTTGCTGAAAGGTCTAGAACCTGCAGGTTTCTCAGCCCTGACAGGTCTGGGATTGCTCCAACCAACTTATTTCCAGTTAAATTCAACACTCTGAGGTTGCTGCAGCTGGTTATTTCTGATGGAAGCTTTCCAGAAAGTAAATTGAATGGCAGTGACAGAACTTGCAGACTCTGCAGAACTGGGAGTGATGGGAAAATGTCACCAGAGAGGGACTTATTCTCTAGTGAGATTTCTGTGACTCTCCCAGAAACTGGATCACATGTAATTCCATAAAATCCACATGGGGAGTCTGATTCATTCCATGAATCCAAGGAATTGAAGGAGTCCTTCAAATGGCTCTTGAACTGAAGAAGCGCTTTGGTTTCCAAAGTTAGTGACACACAAGGCGGGAAAATAGAGTAGAAGGAATTGAGTAACAGCACTGCCAAGAACTGGAAAGAGTGAAAGAAACGTGGAATGTTGGCCATCAGGACAAATTCAGGGACAAATTTGTCAGTTCAGAAGAGAAGCAAGAATCATTGGAATGCTAGCAAGGTGGTGAAGGCGGATGTTATTTGAACTTTGTTGATCAATAATCCATAATTGCAGGGAAACAAGTCACCATCCTGGAAACAGCTGATCAAGCAACAAAATTATTCACTCACACAAAATTGTAAACAATCCATACATGAATAAATAACGCAAAGGAAAAGCAAGATGGTGAGGTCAGAGAGCAGAAAAAGGTGGCGTTGGAACGTCAACTTTGTTTCTATCTGTAGAGAATAATTGCACTGTCATTACTATGATTCTAATCAAAGAATTTAAGAAAGAGATAATGCTTTGAAGTCACTCATTCGCATCTTTTGCACAAAAGAGGTTCTAATCTAATTTTCTCTGAAAGCAAAGCACACATAATTATGGCCAAGTATACTACTACTTTTTTAATCATGAGTTACTGTCACTAACTACCGTGGACATCAGAATGATGCCCTTTTTTTTGGTGTGTGGGGGGGGGGGGGTTGGGGCTAGCTAATCACAAGGTAATAGTTACAAAGGTACCTTTTCATTTTTCAATTGGAATAAGTTAAAATTGTTACTAGTTCAACCCTGAAGAAGCACCCTTTTGCTCTTTTTTCAAGAAAGTGAATCAAAGTAGAATTTTCATCAAGAAATAGAAGATACAAATTTCAGCAGCATGGATTAAACTTGCCTTAAAAAAAAGGATCAGGTATCTGAGTATGATCTAACCTGATTTTGAGTGAACGTATATCAATTATATGCTCTATCTGAGGAGTGTCACTTCTCCAAACTGAGAGGGGAAAAAGGAACTGAGCCTTCTTTTCTGCCAACTGAGAAATTTATAGAGTAAATTATGGGAAAGGATAGAAAAAAGTCATGGAAATGCATGGACATCAAGAGCTGAGAACGAAATGGAATTGTTGATGCATGAGTGAGTCAGAGAAGTAGCTAGGCTACACAAACACTGCTACACCCTACAGTATTCTGTCGGAAATATTGTTCTAAGTTGAAACCAGAAAGACAAAATTGGTAGTGGGGTGTGTGGGCTAGAATTGGACATAGAAAAGAGAGTGAGCTATTTCCAATTTCCATTTAGGTGAAGTGGGATGGGGGAGAAGCAGACAAAAATGCTTTTCATAAAATTTAATTTAATTTAATCTAATGATGCCTTGCAAGTGAAATCAGTAAAAAGCTAAACAGAAAAAGTTAGGGAGAGATTGCTTAAGCTTGACACTATTTGAATGCCTTTGCCTATAGTCAAGGGGTGAGCCAATGATTCTGATTGATGTATTGTATTCTAGTCCTTTCAAAATGCTTTAAGAGATTAGCATTAGAATGTGCTATTCCCAGATTGCTCTGAACTTGTTCCACCTTTCATCCACTACTAGTGGTCCATCCACTATGCACAAGTACGGTCATTTTAACACCGTTCAACTATTTCTCTTCTCTTTCTTTCACGAATCTATTCCTATATTACTCAATACTGCTACTACTATCTCAGCTTCAACATAAATACACAATGATTAAATTTATTCAATTTACACAAATATCACTTATGTTATGATATATATTACTAATCAATTTTAATTTATCCTGCTTAGTCTACAAATATTTTGTTTTTATTTTTCTGGGTTCTCATGGGACCGACAGATTAATCTGTCAATTTGTAAAATTGATAAATATTGGTCTAAATAGAGACATCAAGCTGGAAATGAATTACCAACTGAGAACAAAAATAATACAATAAGTTTTTTATCACGTTCACTTTTTTTTGTTATCTATCATGATTCATACCTTTAAGTACCACAACACGTGTTTGGATAAGAAGATGAAAATTCTTGGTCGTTTTTTTGTGGGGAAAAAATCTTGAAAATAAGAAAATATAGGAGAGAACCTGTCCTTGTACCCAAAAACATGTTTTCTCTTTTTTAACAAAAACGTATTTTACTTGAAATGTCTATCAAAGAAATCATTGAGCAAAATAAAAAAAAACTTCGATAAGAAAACGTGGACACGCTATGTCCCTGCTTAGATTTAAGCACAACAATATAGCTTTTTTGGCCTCAAGTCTTCGTGACCTTTTATTTCTTATCTTTAAGTGTATTATTATTATTATTATTATTATTATTGCTGCTTTACGATTCATTCAATCAGTTTTTTAATTTTGTCTCTTTATATATATATATATATATATATATATATATATATGTATTTATGTAAAATTAATATTTTATTTTCTGACTTAAAGATCAATTTTTTTTTTTTTCAAAACTTCTCACAAGAGAAGTGGATGTAGTGGTTGTCATAGAAACGCACTATGGATGTTTGGGGGGAGGGAGAAGAGAAAAAAGAAGTAAGAAAAAACAAAAGAATATGTATGATTTTTGTTTTAAAAATAGTTTTATGTTTTTAAAAATAAAATCTAATATAAATTTGTATTATATTTTATTTTTAAAACAAAAAAACCAAATGTTCTAAAACTTTAAAAAAATATGATCAAAAGTGTATGAAAAAACTTGAAAAAAAGACTATGAATAATACTGACAAACAAAAGACAACAAATATTAATAAGTTATATTTTTAATAGAAAAGATCATATTTAAAATTTTTTAAAAGTTAAAATAAATTAAAATAGAATTGAAAAATATAAATTAAATTTAATGAAAGAAAAAAAAAAACACTTTTTTTTATAATAATCATTGCAAGTAAAAGAACGTCGCTGGAGTGTTTCAAGGCTGTTTATAGAATCCTTATTCCCCCCAAATATAACTTGATTTTATACAATTTAAATAAAACACTAATTCTAAAATAAACCCTTAACCCATTAGGCTTTTGGTATCCCAATGAACTCTTCTATCAGATGCTCTAATGTTTTTCTTGATGTAATCTTATCAATCTCGTACGCTTTCATCTCATTTTTCAGACCTGCGAGAAGATGACGTAAATTAGTATCAAGCATATTGCGAGTAACATTTTGGAAGATGAGAAAACATAGTTATTATCAGTAAAATATATATAGTGAACTACCCATCTAGCACACTGATATTTATTGTATATTCAAGAAGACATACCCACAAATTATGCACAGCGTTTAAAATTTTAAAATGCCTTAAAAAAAATACCAAATCAGATTGTTAAAACTACAAGATTTACTGTTCCTCTCTTCTCCAAATCCTATTCTAAATTTGATTTCTAAACATACTCTTAAACATATTTTAAACTTTTGAAATTATTTTGTTTCAAATTCATCATAAATAATAAACAAGATTTTGGGATTTTTACATAAAAGAAAGCTTAAAAGATATTCAATTTAATTAAAAAAAATAAAATTAGATATTCCAAACTGAAAGATGAAAAAACAATTAAGCCTATCATGAATCAAAAGCTAAAACTAAACCTGGTAAGTGCAAACTTTTGAGTGGCAGCCGGGAGGCATTGAAATCGAAGAAAAAGAGCAAACTCTCCAATAGCTTCACAGACTCCGTAGATACTAAAACTTCTCTCTAAACAATTATATAAATAGAAAGTGAGTTCAAAACATATATAGAAAGTGCTCATAACAAAAATAATGGTTGTATAAAGTATAATATTACACCCAATAAAATCAAACTTCGACTAACATATAATAATAAGATGATGATGATGACTACGACGAAGTATCCGTTACGTTTGTTTGCATTATTTGGCATCCTCGATCGTGGATGTAATCACCAAAGAAATATTAAAATTATGAACTAGAAAAAATATCGTAAAATATAAGATGGAAATTCTGATACTAAAGTGTTCTTACACTTTTGAGCTTGATTAACTTGGGAAGTAGGAACAAACCTTGAAATTCTTTCCCTCATTGTAATACCCCGAAACGACAATAAGTACTCGAAGTCTCTCCGACACTGAAGCACAATCAAAATAAAAATAAAAAAGATTGAAAAAAAATGTTCTAGAACTATATACACTGCCATAATTTCTGTCAAACCCGCACAGTGCAACTCGCTTTCAGCTGCAATTCTTATGGCGACTTAACAACAAAGAAAGTACTCGACTATTTTAAGAAAATGACAATGAATAATGATGAATAGCTCTTTACAGCATTATTCTAAGCTAACGTCGTTTTGAATTCATTTATTTCATATTTAAAATAGCTTATAATTAAAATATTGACACCATGCAGAGCTTGAAAACACTCTCCAAGATTTAATCATCCGATCAATTGGTTGATTTTTACTAGGACTATCTATAGTTTTCTTTCAAATAATATGGGAATAATAAAAATGCATATAGTTATAGACTATGAAAAGAAAATAGATATTCTATTTCCAAATCCAAGTTCAACAATGGAGGTTTTAACTGAGACGCACACTGGAAATATGTTATTTCTTGTGCTAGATTTTGTGTGTGAGCAAGAAGCTGTCCGATGGAAATTCCGATACTACTCATGCCAATTTGCGACACCGACCTTGAATCTGCACTTTCTGGTTCATTACCCAAAAGAGCAAACAAATTATATTAATATTCTGTCGCAAATTCAACGTATCATCTCATGATAAGACAAAGAAAATATAGTGTTTAAGGATATATAATTGATAACAATGAAAATATCTTAGCGATGTGATTTATCTTCTAAAGATATACAGGCGTTATTATTCAAATTCTTGAAAAAAGTTTTTGTTATTAATTTGGTGTCTCAACTGTGTAAAATATGGTATTATATCCATGTTATCATTGAGAAACACATATACATATTAATCGTGTACAGCATAAGTTTAAACTTGATCCTAATTAGTAATATAATATGTGTTCAAGTTCATACTTTTTAACAAATGGGCCCATAGTAAAAGGATATTTAGCATTGACAGAATCACTTTATTTTAAAAGGTCATTTTTAAGAAATTCAGTGTGTTTGTCAAAGAACAACAACTTTTAGTGTGTTCGTTTAAACTTGAAATTGATTTTTTTTTTATATATTTTTAATATTTTGAAAACCTGTTTTAAATAGTTTATTTTTTTAAAAAAAGAAATGAAATTATATTACCTTTTAAAGTAAAAGTGCTTTTTTTTATACTTTGACACAAATGAAATTCAACTTCTCTACTTTTATAAAATTTCTAAAACATGAATTACTTTTTGATACGTTTTTATTTTTTTTAAATCTTAAATAGACAGGGTTAAAAAAATAATATATTTTATAAAGTATTTTTTAAAATATTTTAGAAAGTAAATATTAAATAAATTTGTAAATATATTTAATTTCTTGAAGACATAGAATGAATTCCATTTATTTTTTGTCTTTGTTTTATAAGTAGAAAGATTTATAAAAGATTTTGTAAGAAAATTTAGAATTGTTATTATTATAGTTTTTAATTTCATTAACAATCCTTAATTGTCTTTCATCATCAAATAAATTTTATACATTTTATCTTGACTTATGATAGAGATTAAAAGAATATTTTTATAAATCTGAAGTTAAAATAATTATTAATACTTATAATTTATTGTTTGTTTCTCCAACATAAACCACATCGAAGCAAAGAGGATCCAGATCCCCTCGACGTTCTTCATGCAAGAATAGGATAGTTCGATTTTATTTTCGCTTAGGTGAATCTTAAAATTTTTGCAAAATTAACACACTGAGCAGAGGGAGAAGAGAGGAAGAGTTGCAGAGTGAGGAAAAATGGAGGAAGAGAAGTTCAAAGAGGAGACATGACTGGTGGAGAGCTCACTGGTAGGAGTGTGGCTGCTGGCGGTAGAGAAGATGTTGGGGGAGCAAATGCGGGTGGTGGGGCTGAGATTGTGGTGGGGTAAGGAGGAGCAGGGGGAATGCTGAGATTGGGGAGAGAGAAAATGAGGAGAGTTGAGATTTGATTAAGCAAATCTAATTTTATTTTAACGAAAGTAAAATTAGATCATCGTATTTTTGCGTGAACTGAAAGGGATTTGTTTCCACAAAAAAAAATATTGGATGTGCGAGTTATTTAAAAAGTATGGAAATGTGCAAACAAACTAAGTCTAAATATAAATGAAAGTAGGATGGGATTATAATGCTTAAAAAATGCTAATAAATCTTCTATATGATATTATTTAAAAAAATTAAAAAAATATAACAATCCATTTCTTTAGTGAGTTTCAATGTATCTCAACATTATATTTTTAAAAAAATTATCATTTATTAATTTCTTAATTATTACAGAATACCGATCAACTTGTTTCTAATCCTTAATTTAAGCTACTTAATCGAAGCGTTATATGTGATTTTATAATTTCCTTATAATTTGAAAATTTTATCTTAAATTCTTATATACCCATACATATTTAGACCTTTCTTGTGTGCTTCACCTTGTGTTTTGTTGTGTTCTATCACCATTCTAAAAATAAAACATGAAACAAGTACATTTTATGCATTTTGTATTGAGTCAAATATACACACCTAGTGTATATAAATACAAAAGATATGCAATTCTTAGTATCACAATTATAATTTTAAATTGTGTTCCGTAATTCGCAATATTAAAATTTTGAAGGTTTTTTTTAAATCACATTACAATTGCAATTATAGTTATATTAATTGCCTTTATCTGTATTTTTGGGTACCTCGTTGATACATAAAATTGACCTTTATAAAAAATGTAAGAGTGAATACATACCTTGTCCTGTCCACTTCTTCAAATCCTTTCGTAGGATATCAGCTACTTGGAGGGAGGAAAGGTCATGCATTTTATGCCTCACTGAAAATCATAAAACACTTAAACGTAAGAAAGAGTTCCTGAACTAAACCAAGTTTAAAGCTATAAATATCATAGACAAAAATGCAATAGATTAATAGAGTTCAAATCTTTTGGCTTTCTATAATAAACTTGTAAAACCCATCTCCATATTTTGTTGAGTAACAACCTTAATTTACATTTTCATACTCATTGAATACCTTAATTCTCATACTCATACTTGCAATTTGTTAATAAAAGTATAATTTAAATAAGTGGATATAAATAGTTATTAGAGTTATCAAATTTTGCAGGTATCTTTCTAAATCTGAACCTAAATTCATTTAGTGGAATATTTATTTACCTACTGTAAGTATTTTTTTGCATACCTAATAAATATAAGACCCATTATCTTTCCAAAGCACATAATCATTGTAAACTTTTAAAAACAAAAACGCTAGAAACCACAATTAATCAATTCAATTGTATTTGCTTTCTATAATAAACTTGCAAAACTCAATTCAATACTTGGTGAGTAATTTCAATTTACATTTTTATACTCGTTGAGTATTTAAATTCTCGTATTTATACCTGATATTTGCACTTTATTAACGAAAGTATAATTTTCAATATTTTTTACAAACTAATAAAGCATATATATCATCATAAAAAAATATTTTTAAAACTACTTCAAATTATAAATAAAATTATTCATGCGTGTAAATAGATAAATGAATATGGATTCTGTAGTATTTATACTTATCAAATTTTGTAGGATCTAAACCTAAATTGATTTAGTGACTATTTAATTTACCCCTACCTGTTGTGGATATTATTTGTAAAGTGTCCAATAGGCATAAGATCCATTATCATTCTTAAACACGAAATCATTGCAAACTTCTAAAATTAGAAAACTCTAGAAATCGCAGTTAATTCTTCATCGAAATTTGCTGTGCTAAAAACTAAATTGATTAAGAAACGGCGTTGGGCATACATAGTTGGTAAAGACCATTGAATCCATAACGACCGGCACCATTGATCAATAATGAAGCCATGTACTTATCTTTTGAGGTGCAGTGGGGGTCCTTTAGATTCGCAGTATCCAAAAGGATGCCAGCTAGCTGCAAGCATGTTAGAAATACCAAAGACAATGGTTGAAATTTTCTTCAATTGACTAGTGCTCTTATAATTGCAGTGGAACCTTCTTTTTCCTTTTTCTTTCCAAAAAATAATAATAAAAACTGTTTCCGGAACTTTGGAAATCACAGTAAGATATAAGAAAAGATGAATTTTACATCACAAGTGCAAAATAACCAACATGGCAAAACCATTGTCAGGGAATTTCATTTTCTGCAGTAACAAGTAGGACCAGTTGGTAAAAATTCATAGTACTTATTAAGAAAATTTTTCTCCCAATCTCTCCATCTAATTAATGGAAATGTTGTGTCACTACTATAAAGGGTTTACAATTTTGTGTGACATTTCTATCTTTCTATTCAAGCTCAAAATCCTAATAACGAGAAGGGCTTATGAGAAATGAAGATATTCTAGCAGTTCCTCCTATGTCATTAATTGGATGGAATAATAAACCGATACTTTATCAATTATAAAATATTAATTTTTGTTTTTAAGATTTATTTTGACTTAAAAATGATAGTTTTTATCAAAAAATTAGAAGATATTCTTTAATTTTCAATAAAATTTTACTACTATGAATAAAGACTTCTTGAAAGAATCTTACATGTAAGTTAAAGGAGAAAAAAAAGACATCCAAAATATAGAGATAGAAGTTTAAGTACCAGAAGTTTACTGAATGATTTGCTAGCCAAAATTTCAGGTGAATATGTTGCAAATTTGTCTGCAATGGCAGTACAACAAGAATTTTCCTGTAGCCATGGTTAGCTGTTACATATCATCAACTTGACACTTTATAATGATATAACAATGCCAGATATGAAGAATCCAAACATAGCACATTTCGATAAAGGTTCTTATAATCTTTTTAATACTTGCATTATATATTTATATTTTATCACAATCGATTGGATAAGAAATCAATGAAATTTGACTTGGGAATTTATGGCCCACCTCTTCTGTTGCGACAGTTTTAACCCATGGATGTATTGTCTCACCCTGAACAAGAAGAGTTAGAATATAGATGGTATGCATTAGTTTTGAAATGCTTAGAATAAAAAGCCGTAGTTAAATGGAACAAAAATTGGCAGAGTAAATTAACCTTTCTGCAGTGAAAAATCTCAACCACAGCCCGCTTCAATTTCTGCTGTCAAAAGAACAAAACAGCCATCATTTTCTACCAATTTTGACTAGTGTGTCCTACGCATTATTTTATTAGTTACCTCTTGCTTTCTGGCAATCCTACTGCTCTTTAACAGTACTATCTTAAGACTTCCAAATAGATCATAGTACGACAGATCAATCTGTTGGCAATTTATTCAAGCAGAAAAAAGCATGTTACAGTAAGCATTCATCTAGAGTGGACACAAACGAAAAGGGTGCTTAGATGTTACTGTGAAGATAAGGTTTGTAGTAGAGGCGCAAGGCTTAATTTCCTCATTACAATTTCAATCAATTTTCCTATAAATGTCTCGAACTATCATTGGAATGCATGTAATATGTTGGTGAGTAGTACAATCACTGCCAATGTCTTGTATCACTGTATTTACTTTTTGATTTCGAGTAAAAATTTTACTTCAAATTCTAAGGATAAAAATACAGTTAAAGAAAAAACATTATTAATTGTTGTCCAAATCCTTAGATATCTATGACTACACGCCAAAATGTGATGCTCTGGGTAATTGGATTGGAGGTCAAATCTCTGCGTCTTTTCATTAATTTGTCATTTAATATTTTCATATATTGCATCAACTTCTATACCCTTCAAGAAACTAAAGTGAAAAGGTTTCAAGTAATTAGCAGGCCTATTTGGAAGATGTAACCTACAGCTTGTTTCACATATAACTGTACGTAGAACAGTGTTATAGAACTTGCCTCATCTGCAAAAATTAAGGATGACTGATCAATATTACATGAATCAAGCAACCACTTGAGTTCAACATGGGAGCCAAGATTTGCCCGGTTAATGTTAATAATTGGAACTGTGCAGAATTGATCGTTTTCTGAACTTATATTTAGGTAGAAGGAATACATGATGGTTGAAGCTACAGTTCCCACATCTGTGAACAGTTAGTGTAAAATGTGAATCAAAGATGACCTTAAGAATATATTCTTCGAGAAAACAATAGTGATGAAAAAAATATCTTGTGTGTGTGTGTGTATATATATATATATATATATATAAAATATGTGAAGAAACTTTTAAAACATGAGTAAACTTGCAACTTCTAGATAGTAAAAAGCACCATCAGCTCTTCAATTACATTTTGGTATCATACCAAACACGAGAGCTAAGAAGGAAACCCCAACAAAACAACACCTTGAATGCATTTCAATATCAAATCCTTCATTTATGAAATGAAACTATTTTTGACATTTCGTTGATGGGATACTTTCTGGACACCATTTTTTCCTATAAATAAATAAGGATCAAGAAGAGGTTACAATATTTTACTTTTGTACGCAACAGTGGTGGGGCCATAATGTCTTCAGAAGTTTGATATTCTTTGCACAATAAATGAAATTTGAGTATTGCCTAGCAGTTGACAAAGATGGTAAAATGGGTTATGAAGGTGGTGAAAAACTGAGAACACTTAATCATAGGAAAAACTCGTTATGTTCTTTATGCCAAAGACCAAGTGTTGTTAAGTCCAAGAACTTCAATGGTTTAACACTTTAACATGCACCCTCATGCAACAGTCCTTCGCACTTGCAATATGTACAAAATCACTTAGCAAGGTAGAATTAATGTCGTAATTAAGCGTTTAAGCTTGAGCTAATAATAAAAGAAAGTCCTTGAATTGTCTCAGACCTTGAACACTTTCATTCGGAAAACTTCTATGTTTCCATTTATATCAGAAAGGAAGTAACATTTGCAATCCAACAAAGACCTTCAACTGATCTAAAAGAAATTATTGAACTACATTGTCCGGTCCACATATACTAAAATAAAAGCTGTTATAAACCTATCATATTCTGACATCACGGATCCATTTTCACCAAAATTCAGTGTATGTTGAGATTTGTAGTTTTATATCACAGAAGCTAAAAAAGAAGAAATTACCAGCATCATCTGAACCCATTACAGCATGTAAGAATTTCCCAGGCACGCCAGCGTTGACATCATCCTTTCTTGCTTTCAAATATGCATTTAGCTTGTCAATGCTTTCACATGATTCAACAATTTCCATTTCTGGTGACACTCCATTGTAGTATGAAGCAGCAGATAGTGGAAGTAGAATACTCGATAGCTTTTCTCTTCTTCTAGTGACAATGTACGTCTTTGCTGTATTAGGTATTATTGCAGGTGAAGGTGATTGTAGGACCTGAAGCTTTTCATCAAGTTCAGGAGTTCCGGGGCTATAGCCATATCCAAGATGTTTTGGATTAGCCAATTCAATAAGCTCAGATTGAATATCTAGTTGTATGAATGGAGCAATTTTGCTGGTTTTTAACCATCTCTCAGATGAAGAATGTTCAGAAGATTCATAGTTGAAGATTGAGACAGCTGAATTGTCCAGTGACAAGTCCATAACATCTTCAGACATATCTGAGACAAAGTTTTTGGGTCTTGTTTCACCGATATCTGGTATAGATACGAAAACATTACTGCTATTAGCTCCTTGGGAGTTCAAGGGAACCTCACTATTAGATCTTAGAAGGCCATCAAAGTATGGATTCTCTCTAGTACGAATGTATGGTTCCTGAATACAAGGGGGGAAAAGAATGAAATTAGTAGACAAGGACAATCTTTAATGAGAAAAAAAAAGTGTTTACGGAAAGTAGTTAGTAACGTTTTGAAGTTAATTAAATAGAAAGGAAAAGTAATTATGTTTTTCTAAATTAATCCATTTAACTTTGTCTTTTTAGTTTCATGTTCCAAGGTTTTTTGAAAAACAATTATAAAAAATATAAATTTTTAGAGAGACAAAAGTATTTAATATTTGTATTTTAAAAAAATATAAATATAAATATAAATAATAATAATAATAATGTTATTTATATATTAAATTATTCTTTTTCAATATTAAATATTCAAATAAGAAAGAAGTTTAACTTTTCTTTCTCTTTCTTTTTCTTCTCTCCTAAATTTTTTAAACTCTTTTATTATTTCTCTTTTAACTTTCAAATAAAGCTTGAAAATAAAGTTTTAAGTAAAAATAATTTAATAAAAAATAACTGTTAAACAGTGATTCTTCTGTTATTTATTTTACAGCACAAGGTCTGGTAAGATGACATCTTTCCAAACGAAGAAGAAATTAAGTCAAAATCATTGAGGATGTCCAATTAGTACTGGAGGAATGGATGAAGCAGTCCGTGAAAGATGAGTTTTAGCCTTCAAAGTTAAACTATGCCTACAAATCCAACATGAAACCATGAAACATAAAAGAAACAGAAAGATAGCTGAGTTTTGAAACGATTGATGTCAGCAACATTTTGCAATAAGAAGATTAAAAAAGAAGAAATGTGTATTTTCAATTAAAAGGAAAAATACAGATAAAATAATTATTTCTTCCTGGTATTCCCTATAAAATGTTTTCAAAAACCATTAATTCGGATCTCATATACACCCCCGGGAATCGTAGGCTATAAGGATATAATTATGTACGGATAATAAGATTTAATGTTATAAGTTATTCTGTACTAGGTTAGAACTAAGCGTATGCGTGGTAGGTTTCAGAAGTAACTTAGCTTAAAATATAAGCTAAAATTTGACCTATTTACTTGATACAGCTTATATTTTCAAATATAATTTACCCTTTTTAAAAGTCTATCATGACACACAAGCTAATAACTCATTATTCGATAAAAAAAAAAACTAGAATTACAAGAAAATAAAAACTGAGATGAAAATCATAGCAACTTTAAATTTGGCCTAGTTGCAGACTGAAAGTAAAATTAAAGATACAGCTGAAGAGGTTTGTTGTAACTATGTCAATGGTTATTAAATGCATAGACAAAATCATGAAAGAGGTATTAATTAACCTGGTGAGTTGTGGCAAATTCTCCAACAGGCCTCATAGCGGATATGATAATTAAGAGTAGAAAACTATGAAAAGATGAGATCTTTAAAGGCTTAAGGGCGGGGACGGCAAACTAGGTACAGAGCAACAAGACAACAAGGTATTTGTTGGATACTCCGAAACCGGTCACACTCATTATGCCATTATGTCTACCTTGTCCTTCTTCAACCATGCTTTGTGAAATGCAACATACTGTAAACAGAATATGCGTGTGCAAGCGCTGGCCTTAGCCGTTTTGGCATATTCATGCACTTCAATTCAATATTCAATGTGCTCCTGTGAAAAAAAAATTATTATACTGAATATCTGGATCATTTTGTGTATGTGAATTTTCTTACTTTTCTTCTTAATAATCTTTTTATTACTTTATAAAATAAATATGAAATAAAAAATACAGAGATATTATATTTCTTTATTTAATAACTGAAAAATTATAAAAGTAAACAAAAATAAGAAGAATTAAATTTATTCTAGTTAATTAGTGTTAGTCATTTTGAAAGTTTGCCTTTTATATACTATTATACCTTAGTTCTTCTGAACAAATTGCAACTCCCCATTCTAATTCCTAGTGAGTCAGATGAAAATATTCAACTTGTGCCTCTGCAGCAAAGAACAAAGTTGTCTCTTAGCTTGTGGATTAATTTCCTATGTTTCTAGTTGTTACTTGATTAAAACAATCAACTATATACTTCTTTTTATTGGAAGCATATTCTCTCTCATTATGCAAAAATTTTGATGTACAGATTCACTTAAGTAAATTTTTCTTCTCCCATTTCAGCTCTCCTCCTCTTTCTCACAGCCCCCATTTCACTCTCCCTTTTCATTCTTGGACTTTTTATCAATCGGTTTAGCATTTAATAGAAAGAATGTTAAACTAAATTCTAACATCTTAACACTTTAGTGACTAAATTTTAATAAAAATTTATCATAAAATCTGCTATATTTATATAAATCAATCATGTATTTCAACTTTTTTTAAATTTATTTCTTAATTTAAAAAAAATTATCTCTCTAATTAATTTTATTTAATATAATAAAATATTTAATAATTTTTAATTTATAAAAAATATTAAATTTAAAAATATTCATTTTATATATTTTTAGTTTTTATTTAGTAATACTTATACAGTGTATAAAAATAAAACTCTTAATAGAAAAATGAAAAAACTCTTTAAAAATATAATAACAGATAAATACTAACTAGTGCCTATGCATTTATTTGAGAAATTAAAAATAAAAATATTATTAGTATTTTTTTTAAAAAAAGTTATATTTTTAATCCCTTGACCTAAAAACATTGGCTAGCAAGTTCATACAATAAAAATGATAAGAAAATAAAAGAATTAGTAAAATTATGTGTTGCGTTCTTCAATTTGGTTTCTCTTTTTCTGCTTTTACCAAAAAGAAATGGTTTTTCTCTTTTATCTGTTTACTTTTCATATTAATATTCAAATTAAAGCCCAAAATGACAAAATGTATTGATAATAACATGCAATAGGAAACCTATTTATAAACTAAATATAGTTATATTTTGTAAGCAAATTAACAACCATAAAGCATCATTATTAGAGAGATGGGTAAAGCGTTGCCTTTGGGGGGCATCATTGCGTGGAGTTGGAAGTTTTGTGATCGCAACTCGCAACTAAGGGCTATAAATGTGGGTTATTTCTCGTGCGTGGCAACCTTTATGTCACATGTCCTATGCGTTTTTCATTAATAATAACGATTTATGTTCTTCAATAACAACACTTTCTCAACGGGACGAGAATTTTATAGCCACTGTGAATGATAATTTCACATGCCACCTACCGAAATTGATAATTCGGTGCATGAAACAAGTCAATAATTTAGATCATTATCAATAGCACTGCAATTGCGATAGAGATCCATTAGTAAAGTGACTAGTGTGATCTTTATACTTAAATAGACAATCCTGAAGTTCCTGACATCCAAGGTAGAGTAAAAAATATTTAATTTAAGGATCCAAGTTCACCTATGTTATTTTCTTATGTCTGATTTGATGAAAATACATTTAAGAAAGAAGGAAATTCAAAGGGATAAGAAGGCGTGCAGAGTTTAGTGGTGACGTGTCAGTTTGATATTGAGAGTGAGAAGGGCCCATTGATGTCTTCAACTGCAACTGCAACCTGCTTTCCTTGTAGTTGTACTTTGTACTGCTGTTTCTATTCCTCACACACACCTGAATTTTCCGCCATTACAGTTACATCGCTCGTTCTCTTTTCCTTATTATCATTTTCATTGGGCTTGCTTAGTTGTTTGTCAATTTAAATTTATATGTTCATGTTCTAACGTAAAAATATATATGTTTATAATTAGTTTAAACACATGTAATATCTAGTTCTATGCAGCACAAATAGTACTACTTCTCTCTCTCTTTATGTTGTCTTTATTTCAATTTCAATCTCTTTCCTCATTCATTCCCTCTCAACCACCTCCACCTTTCTCTCCATCTCTATTTCCCACAAAGTCTTCGGTGATATTTTCACCATAAAGTGTTTTCCTTTTTGCTTCTCCGTCCAACCTGTGTTCTGGGCTTTTGATCTTCTTTCAGGTGATGTTTCTGTTCTGTCAAACTTTACCCAACTTGATCACTCTTCTTTGTTCAGATTTTCTTCCATCTCTCCTGTTCATTTTGTTATCACTTTTCTTGTTGGCATGGTCGCTAAATTAACTTTGATTTGGAAGTTTAGTCATGAAGTTCATATATATAAATATATTTTCAGTTTGGCCTCCTTACTATTTTCAAGCTTGACATTAATTATAATCCAAGGCACTTTTTTGGTTTCAGTTTTGTTTTCTATTCCTTCACTTAATCGTTGAATTTCGTTTACTCCATCAGGCTCTAAAACCAAGAATGCTTCTGTACAATTGTCACTAATCCAAATGCTCGATAAGTCCGTTTTCTTCATTTCTTTCATGTCACTCTAATCTTGCTTAAAGCTTAAACTAACATGAAATGTTACAAACTTGCCAGGTCAGGTCTGAGTGCTTCATTTTGTCTTCAATAAAGGGATTCAAGTCAAGAGATCAATTCTTAAGAGAACTATGATTGAAGAGATACGTGGGGGATGCCCAGTGTGGTTTGTGACTTGCCTGCTATTTTCTCTTTGTGACTCATCTTTAGAATCGGGCTGATATAGTTTCCTGGCCTCATCAAATACATCCAGCGAATATGTATAACTCATTCAATGCCAGTACGTGTGAGATAGTGGAAGCTAGGGAAGAGATCATTTCTGAGTTCAAAATAGATGAAAGGCCTGAGAGTAGTTGTGCTCACAAATCAGGAAAAAAGTGTAGTATAGAGGATGATATCAATAATCTTTTCCAGGCAATTTATATTAAAAATTCAAGTAGAGGTCTTAATACACCATATTCACACAAGAGAGCTCCTAAAAAGCTCATAAAAGTCAATCCATCACAGCCATCAGGAATTGGCTTCTCAGAACCTGTAAGTTTGAAGCAAGCATTTAGAGGGTTGTGCATCTCACAGGCATCAGAAATGGCTGCATTGAAGAGACTATCAAAGCCGTCCAATTCATCAAGGATATCAGAGGCTCGAACCATAAAAAAGTTGTATATAGCAGAAGTAGATGAACGGCAAGGGGAATCGGTGGAATGCTCTCTTGTGCCAGTGATATCAAGTTCAACTTCAAGTGCTCATCAGTCTACTCCCTTTGTTGATGCAACAAACCCAAAAACATTGCCAGCTAAGTTAGCATCCCGAAATCAAGTTGTCCCTCTTCCATCAGAGATTCAGGGTGAGAAGCTAGTCACGAGGCTTGAAAATGAGCTACAAGCAAATTCATCATCAGTTGCCTACCCTAGTAATGAAGTGCCTGAGGTGGAGATTAGACTCAAAACGCTTCCTTCTTCCTCCACCAATGATTCTCTTAGTTCTTCAGTGCCAGATAAGGGGATGGAAGCGAAGCTAATTTCTCCACCTAGTTCTGGCACGGTTAATGGAGTGGATAAGCCCACAAGTAGTAATGCTGATGCATCTTTGACAAAGCCAATATTTAAGGACAAGAACTTTATTACCAAGAAAGTGAAGCAAGATTTACGTCCAAGCTGCTCTACTTCATGTACCAGAAAAGATGGCAATGAATTGGCTTCTAGTACCGGTAAATGGAACAAGGTGACTGAAAATTCTGAATTAAAGGATGAAATGAAAGAAAACGAGAAACTGTCCTGCAGCCATTCAAACCATAACATTGAAGTTGACTCAGTTAATACAGGCATGGATTCAAGTAAACCTGGTTTCTGTTTGACTGGCAATAAGAGAAATAAGTTTGTAGTGACAAAGTTTGATGAGAAATCAAGATCAAGGGAAAAGGGTGAATTTTCCCAAATTTCAGAAAGTGGCATTGGTGACTATGGTAGTAGTACAAGCATCAGTGGGGAGAGCAATCTAATTGGTTCTAGATGCAGTGGCCACAGGCCTCACATGTCAAAACACATGAGATGGGAAGCAGTTCATGTTGTTCAGCAGCAGTATGGTAATTTAAGTTTGAGGCACTTCAAGCTTCTCAGAAAGCTTGGTTGTGGGGACATTGGAACTGTTTATCTTGCCGAACTAATTGGCACAAATTGCCTTTTTGCTATAAAAGTGGTGGAGAAGGAAATTTTGGTAACCCGGAAGAAAATGTTCAGGTCCCAAATTGAAAGAGAGATCCTGCAGATGCTAGATCATCCGTTTCTTCCTACACTTTATGCCCATATTGCAACAGATAATCTCTCTTGCTTGGTTATGGAGTATTGTCCAGGTGGAGATCTTCATGTGCTGCGCCAGAGGCAACCGTATCAGAGCTTCTCAGAGCAAGCAACCAGGTAGGAGTGTAGGACTCTTGCAGTCTTTCTTTTCTTCTTCATTGTCATTAAAGTTGTTTCATTTTCTATTTCAAGATTGAATCATCTGCCTTTAGCATGATGTCACGTTCTCAAGCCATCTAGGACTTTTTGCTCTTTCTGTTGTGATTGGATAACACATTCATTTAAATCAGTGAATGGGCATCTTATTAGTGGGATGGTTTAGTGTTAAAATGACATGCACTTATGTCATTGTAAAGTGGAGACAAATTTCTCACATTCTGCCACACATGATGTTGTCATTTCCACACATTTTCTAGACTAAAACTCATGCCATTACATAATCAGGTTTTATGTAGCTGAAGTTCTCCTTGCCCTGGAGTATTTGCACATGCTAGGAGTTGTGTATCGAGACCTGAAGCCTGAAAATATCCTGGTTAGAGAAGATGGGCACATTATGCTTACGGATTTTGACCTGTCACTAAGATGTTCTGTCAATCCTATGTTAGTGAAGTCATATTCACCAGATGCGGATCCAACAAAGAACATGTTCAGTTCCTGTTCTGAGGCTAGCTGCATGCACCCTTTCTGTCTTCAACCAAATTGGCAAGTTTCCTGCTTTACTCCTATTCTATTATCAGCTGGAGCTAAATCTCGAAATATTAAGGCTGATATAGCTGCTCAGGTTGGTCCACTGCCACAGCTTGTAGTGGAGCCTACCAGTGCTCGTTCAAACTCATTTGTTGGAACCTATGAATACCTTGCTCCAGAAATCATAAAAGGCCAGGGTCATGGGAGTTCTGTAGATTGGTGGACTTTAGGTGTATTTTTGTTTGAGCTTTTATATGGTAAGACTCCCTTCAAGGGCCCTACAAATGAAGATACATTAGCCAATGTTGTTTCTCAGAGCCTTAAGTTTCCAATTACTCCTATAATCAGCTTTCGAGCAAGAGATTTGATCAGAAGATTGTTGATAAAAGATCCTGAAGGTCGATTAGGCTCTGTAAAAGGAGCTGCTGAAATAAAGCAGCATTCCTTCTTTGAAGGCCTCAACTGGGCTCTTATACGGTGTGCAGCACCACCCCAACTCCCCAAATTTCGTGTTCAATCCATGGCTTCACACAAGGAGAATGCCAATGATTTAAAAGATACAGAAGGTTGTGAAGAGTTTGACCTGTTTTAGTTAGAATTGGTTGCTAAAACTGTTGTCATCCGTGTGACACGCCTAGTTTGAGTGTGTTTGCTGTTTATATTTCCTGTTTTCAATACTCATTATGAAAATGATGCTTTATTTTCATTTTGTTTTCTGTTTTCAAGACTTGTACAGCTGGTTTCTTATTTTCAGTACAAATCTTTGAAAATAGAAAATATAATGAAAATGAAGTAATACTTTTGTAATCATGAGTGAGAGAAGGGAAAATAAAAATGTATTTTCAAACCAAACAGGCTCTTAATATATAGCTTCAAGCTTCTAACGTAAATGTAACTCTAATATAGTGACAAATAGATAAATTTATGTTTATAAATCCATGAAGGAAAATTGGAGATTTTGTTTGTTTGTCTGTTATGCTGGCCATTTCGATCTCTATATTATATTATTGGCCGAAATATTACTCTTATTTCTTTCATTTTTTGTTTGGTTCATGGTTTTGAACCTTTGTCACACACCCTTTTCCTTTATTCATTAACATTATCTTGTTAAACTTTACAACCTCAATTCATGTTGAGGGTTGTTTAACATGGAGCAAAAGCAATTAAATTTAGCTGTTGACATTCACAGTTATGCATTTCTCTGAGACTAGCAGTAGGGTGATTTTAGAGTCTTAAATCTTTACTTGGTGCGGACAAGCATAATAGAGGTAGAGCACTAGAGCTGTTGTTCTTTCAGAAGACCGAATCAGCAACACCAGACAAGTGTTTTTCTGTTTTGGTCCAGGGAATGGGAGATGCAGATTGAGATTTCTGGGATGGCAAGGTCCGAAACTTTGCAGCATGTCCCACTAGCTCTTCATTGAAATAGCCAGCATTTGGCAGAGATATAGTTGAGTTACGTGAATGACTCTGTCCAAGATTACGTTTGCAACCATGCAAATAATATTACTTACTCGCACTTGTCCTAACCAAGCGACAAACAAGTGAACTCATACTCAGTACTAACATGTCTGTCCTCTCATGCTCACATCTTGCCATTATGAAATGCATCAAGACCCTCAGAAAGAGGCATCCAACTGTTCCTACTCGGACAGTGACAGTAGCACTGTTGATATCTGTAGTTACTAGGTAATGGCCATGTCAGCATCAGCATAGGTTGTGCGATTGGGAGTAATAAGGTGGTGTGTACATAACATCTTTGGTTCTTTTTTTTTTTTTTTACTCCTTAAAATTATTTTCTATTTCTCTAAAAGGAATGTGTTAACTAATTTTTATTATTTATTTATATAACATTCAAATTATTTCATATAAATTGATTGAAGTACAATATGAATGAGATATACAGTTATCATATACAGATGTCACATCAACTCTATAGAATATTTCAAAAGTCAAATTGAATGTTACATAAATATATATTAAAAAAATATAACAAATAACTATTAGAGAGACTTACAAAAAAGAAAAATAATTTTTAGAAGACTTATTAAAAAAATAAAAGATCAAATAAAAAATTATTTTTTAAAATCAAAATCTTATTTATGTCAATTTTTAAAAGTAGAAAGTGAAATTTTTTTTTCTCAGAATTAAATATATACATCTTGGTTGACTTTCCTGCATATTGCTAATTTTGATATCGTACTATGACTATTTGTCAAAGAGATAATGTTATTTTAACACTTAAGTGTCCATGCCAGACACTTCATATAACTGTAGCATAATTGCTTTTCAATTTGTATAGTGTCCAATATAAACTCTCAAACTAACTGTTAAAATAACATTACTTTCTAAAAGCCACGAGATTCCCTGTATTTTTGGACTAATCTTTCCTGTGCTTCCAGTGAGTCTTGAACTTTTCCATCCTTTCAATGCTTTAAAAGAAAGGAGGAACATTGACATTTTGCACACTTTCTACTACTGACTTAATAATGGGCAGGAGTGCTTGTTCTTCCTAACGAGAAGATTCATTAGTATGTGGCTGATGAACCTCTGCAGGGTTGTTTTGAAAAAATATTTTCAATATAATGAGGAAACTACGTATCAAGATGGGTTATATGAATGATAATTTTAATGGCTATGTTGTTGTGCTAACACGGGTCAGGGCACAATGCAAAGAGCATGTTGAATATGCGCAACACTTGGGTTGGTCACGTGTGAAACGCACACAATGAGAGTAGCCATCCAACAAGTGGCACGATTGTGCGCTGACACGTGGTGGCCACGCAACTTTGTGGCACCGGTGAGTAACACGGGTAATGAGACATGTAACTCTGAGATTAGTTGTTGGCCAATTTAAAAAAACGTGGTTCTCTCTTTTTCGAGACTTTTTTTTGCATTTTTTTTCCTCCAAAACCTCCATTGTTTCCTCTTATGAAGCAGTTGTGTTCCTTGTATTCATTGAGGTGGATCAGCTAAAGCATAGTTTGAAAAGGCACGTTTTATTCTCTTACATATTAATAAATTTAATTAATATTTTATTTTGAAGTAAATTTATAATGTAGATAATTATTGTCTATTAAATTATATTTATATTTATTTAAAATTAAACTTAGTATATAACACGATATACTGTCAACATATAATATATCGATGCTGTTAAAAAAATTAAAATTTGACCTTGAAAAGTATTATTTGAATTTTTTAATATTAGTTATTTATGCTAAAAATATATTTTATTAAGTAAGAAATTATATGTGTGTTAACATTATTATGATAATATAAATATAATTTGTATAGGGGAATGTGTTTTTAGGAGTTATATAAAAAAGAAAATATCAACAATTTATTTTAAGTTAAACTTCATTCTAATATAAGAGTTACAATATAAAAATAAATAATATTAAAATATTTATGTATAAATGTTACAGTATAATGCGTTGTTAGCATATAAGTAAAAAATATTTAAATAAATTGTCTATTAAATTGAAAGTTTTATATTAAGTTTGAAATAGTTATTATAGAAATAAATGAATATATTTTAATTTGAATGTAAATATAATGTGTCGTATTAAAAATAAAAAATTATTATACCTTATTTTAAATTAGTATGATATTATATTAAATAATTAATTTATACATTAAGTAACTGTCTTTAAATTTTAATATATATATATATATATATATATATAATTTGTTTATTTTTTAGGGTTATAATAGAAATTAATATCATATTATATTTAAAATAAGGTAATATTATGTTAAAAATGTTTAAACATATTTATTATTATTATTATTATTATTATTATTATTATTATATATTAATTTTTTGTTAGTTTTAATATAAATTAGTATATATTATGTTAAATAATATATTTAAGTATGCTAAGATAAGAATAGTTTGCCACATAAAATTATTATACATTTGCAGCAAAAAAAATTTTAGGCATTGCACAAATGTTCTCCTTTCAAACTAATATTGCCTCAGTGGAAATTTAAGACACATATATTTCACTTGCTTCTAGAAAAGTGTACAATTACTTTATAAGATGTTGCTATTTAAGTTGGTTTGCACATTGATGATTGACCAATTATAAGAAGCAAATCAAGTTAAAGTTAGTTTAAACTTGTTGAATAATTTTTAGGAATCTCACCTCCTAAAGAAAAATTGCATGGTGAATCAGTGAAGATGACTTAGTTACTACTTCATTTCGGTAATGTAAATAATCACTTTTATAGTGATATTCAACTAAAAAGATTTACTTAAGCCTATATATTAAGATTAATTGGAGGTGTAATATTCACCGATAATAGAGTACTGTTGAGATATCTACTTTTATTAGCTGATCTAGATAAATATGAAGAATATAGTTGAGATTCTATTACACTGGCAAATTTATATTGACAATTGTGTGTAGTTATAAATTATCGTCACAGAAAAATTTCTAGCCTGACATAATTGATTCAATTATAGGCATAAATAGATTCCTATGCATCATACTGACGGATCTAAGGATTCTATACAATGCTAAGTATGTTTAATATAATAATTTTGACATTAATTTAATTTTTAATATTTATTAATTATATGTTTATGATTGGTTTTGTAAGTGGTTGAGAAGTTAGTTTTTCAAAGTAGTTAAGCAAAATCTACCATTTTATAAACAGATGTTTTAGACAATGAAGAAAGATGAGGTTTTCATATATCGTGTTTCTTGTAGTGAGAATATGTTTGACCTTTAAATTACTAATTCATTAGAATTCGTACAACTTGAATGTGATTACATCATTACCTCATGTTTGCTTAAATGAAAAGGGATACTTAGAGGGTTGTTGTCCCACTATTTTTCTTTTAAATTGTTGAATAACTTAGTCTAATCGAGTAATGTGACAATTTGGTATGACTCGACATATTCCTAGTGAGTTAAGGCAAAATGAAATTTTACATGAGATTGCACAGAAGGAGAAGACTAATGAAAATTGGTGTAGAATTTATCAATCATACATTGACTTATGAAATCGTAGGTCAAAGTGTATGGTTATTGGGTTACTGAGTGCTAATTCTTTACTACATAAAGTGGTATACAAAGCATATGCAACATGACCATATAATAGTATCCTAGACACAATCTAAGATTTGTTGGCTCACAAAATGAATTTGTTGGGCCCTTATACTTTTACTCCATACTAGTCGCCTTCAATTCATGAGTATGATCATGTACCTTCACTTAGAGTTTGTGACACCTAACTCGTATAATAATTCAATTCATACACCAATTGCTCCTAATCCATGGATGCAAAATCTTGATAATACTGATGTCTAGTCACTGTGATTTTCCCTTCATGGCATTGATTTAAATGTTGATTTCAATTATATATTTCAAGATAAAGGTAATGAAGTAGTAGGAAACAGTCATGACATGTAACCACGAAGGAGGAATCAACATTGGGTTGTGAGACATGTACATGAGGATGTGTACTAATTCCTCCTGATGTACATGGTCAATAGTATTTTCTATTATTTTTTACTATGTATGTCAAGAATCTTTTGTTATTTATGGAAGTACTTGACTATGCGTTCAATTTGTGTTGCACTATAAAATTTGTTGTAAAATGCATTGAATTGTCTATTTTAACAATTTTGTTATATTACAAATGGGTTTACAACATTAGGAATAGTCTCACTAAATTGTACCAATTTAATATAAATACAAGTGACTTAACAATTCAATATGCATGATATGCAGCTTTAGATTGGTCTTCAAGACAATGAGATCAATGGTGTTACTTATGACTAACTTCTTTACATATGCAACATCTATTTGATTTGTAATATGATCCCTAAATGCTATCATCTGAGTTGTACCTTCATCAAATAATCTAACTAAATTATTATCATTGGAGCTAATTTCTTTCATGCTTAAACCTCTATTCTCATACTCAATTTCTATAGGATCAATTTCTTCCCATATC